TTACCACCTCCTTGCTGCGTAAATTAAGTATTAATGTTCTAACAAACGCTTGTTCGTACTTGGTGTTTTCAAATATTACGGATAAATTGTCTGACGGACACCTGAGAAAATTTGGTGCGAAGCACATCGCCAGATTGTGCACATTCATTTTCGTCTGCGTCACCGTTTCAGGGTTATCAAATTTCTGTGCCATATATACAGTATATAGATATATATTGGTGAATCATTGAGTCGCGTTGATAAAGAAAATATCACAAAATATCCACAAACCTGTAGAAAATCTATTGTATACACTACAACCCTTTTGTTAATCTCTGGTAAACTCTTCACAATTTCAATAGTCATGTCCTTGTCTTCCGCGTGTTTTATGCACCTGTCGTAAAAATCGGTCGGTATCAACGGTTCCACCAAATCTCGTAACCAAAATTTTAGCAAAGATGACGGAACGTTGGGATCGGTAATTCCGCTGATGTCGTAGCGATTCTTTTCGATTCTTAATTTCTAAAAAAAATTTTTACGATGGTTAAGTAGTATACTCTTCGGCGTGACGTTTGACAGACAAAAACAGATCGTACATACCAGTTCAGTAATAAATTCAGCATCACCCGGAACTCGGAATATACCTTCGGATGATTGACCCTTCAATTCGAGAATTGCGTCAGCCAGAAAAGGTAGAATGCGCGGTAATTTGAGTTCTGGATGCGTCTTCTTCTGAAGTTCCATCACAAACTCTAGGGATTCGCCGAATACCGAAGGATTAAATGGTGCTTCCTGCAAATAATATGAGTATGTTACCAAGTTACATGACATCGAGCAAATGAACTTTGAAGAGGAATGACAATACAAACTTTTGCTCTCTCGATTTCCGCCAGTGTTAGTACTTTACCCTTTGGGCCACGTTTGCATATTCGTGTTAACCTACTGTGCACGTGCTTACTCAACAAGTCCACTTGATTTTCTTGGATGTTAAAATGTTCGCTTACAAATTGCATAAGGTAGACCTCAAAATTTTTCGAAGGTGGAAAAGTCACTGCCATCACACAAAGGAGTTCCCACCCTTTTCTAACGCTCTCACTACGTAGTATTCCGATTGAATGCAATGTAGAATTTTAGCATTACGCAAATCGGGTCAGGGGTGTCAATGGGTTTACGTACCTGTTGGGATTCTTAGTAAGCTGTTTACATATTTGAACATATATCTCATCTCTTAGTTCACCATGCAGAATACCACGATCTAGCAACCATTGGATATCTTCGAGAACATTAACCGGACCACGACCTCGATGTCGATCACCCATTATCCTTTGAAT